GGTTTAGGGGTCTAGGGGTTTAGGGTTTAGGGGTTTAGGGGTTTAGGGGTTTAGGGTTTTTGTATGTCTACTTATGAGGTTTAGGGTTTAGGGGTTTAGGGTTTAGGGGTTTAGGGGTTTAGGGTTTTTGTATGTCTACTTATGAGGTTTAGGGTTTAGGGGTTTAGGGTTTAGGGGTTTAGGGGTTTAGGGTTTTTGTATGTCTACAAAGCCTCTCGCCTCCACAACCTCAGCACAGAAATCCGTGTGTGGACTCTCCTAAACCCTAAACCCTAAACCCTAAACCCTAAACCCTAAACTCTAGGAGCCTTCAAAGTGTCCGAACTCTTCGTACAACTTCGCTATCGCAGTGACCGGAAACCCGTATGGATTACACCAGACTTTGCCCAGAGAACCCAACACCCTTTAATGACGGAACATACCTGAAACTATAGGGGCCTTAGTATTATGATTTAAGGTATATTCTTTAACTAAGGGGTATTGGGTTCTCTGTGTGACCCGAACAAGCAACACAAACGACCCCTGAGCCTTTATAAAGCCCAAACCTCGACTGCACTGTAAGTCTCACGGGTAGGATATTTAAACCCTGTTGCCCCTAAACCGGAAAGCCTAGCTCTATAAGCCACACCCTAGTAAGACCACAAGATTCACTTGGTGTTCTTCTGGTTGGCTCTTTAGACTTTAACTTTTTGGGTTTCTATATGAACCATAATAAGGAGACTAAAAGTTTAACTTTTTGGAGGGGTTCAGAAGTCAGCCAAGATTCATATTGCCTATACGTCCTACGCGGCCGAGCCTTGCCCTAGAGCCCGAAACCCAAAAGCCTAAACTCATACCCTAAAAGCCCTGATTCTAAGCCCTGTTAGCTCCAAAACCCCAAAACCCCTAAACCCCCAAACCCTAAACCCTAAACCCCCGAACCCTAAACCCCCAAACCCAAAACCCCCAAACCCTAAACCCTAGAACCCTAGGAGCCCTGAACCATAGGAGTCCTCAGGTCTATATTATCGATGCCGGCGCGATGAGCTACTTCTGCCGTGGCGGAAGTCAGCAGCGCGCACATGTCGCCGAAGGCTTGGGCGGGCTTTAGCGTTTTAGGGTTTCGAGTTTTTGTTAAGGCTTAGGTCTTCAGTTTAAGGATCTAGGGTTTAGGGTTTAAAAGCAGAGGATTTCGGCGTTTCCGGTGTTAGATTCCGCAAGAGGAGTCATTGGCGTTTGCTCTGTACATGACCCTAATTCATGCAGGGTTTGGGAATTAGGGCTTTCTAACATCTTACGACAATAGATGCCTTTCTTGAAACCATAGTTGCTAGGTCCCGTGATCCTCAAGACTTAAACCCTTCTAGATCCGTTCATGAAACCCTTTCCCTGGGGAGCGCTTTAAGGAACCGCTAGTTATTAAGCCTAGGTAGTACTAGGGAGACCCCCTCAAGGGGACCCTTCTTAACCCTACTTATGGCTCTCTCAAAAGGGACTGTATCCCCAAGGGTCCCCCTAATCCTAACTCGCCTCAAGTACCCTAAACCCTGAACCCTGAGCCCTGAACCCTAAACTCTACTAAAGGGCATCTAGTTGCGGCCTTAGGATACTAATCCTAACTAAGTCCCATGATCCTGTAAGCAGCCACTTAGTCTACAATTCAGGCTCGGAGCATCACACCGCTTTCTCTTAGGGTTTAGGGAAGTAGGAATTAGGTTTTAGGTTTAGGGTTTTAGGGTTTAGGGGTTTTAGGGTTTAGGGCCTGGAGTATCTAAGCAATGGGCTAGGAACCAGGAACGCGCTCAAGCTTAAACTGCTTTCGACGATATCCCCAGTCACATTCGTGGGCCTAGTGAAGGTGTCGCAACCTCCCTTGTTCGAAATGTGTTCCTTCAGAGAGTTTAGTGTTTTGAATTTTGTGCTTTTGGGTATCGGGTCAAGCTGCTGACGGCAAGAAGCTGCGGTGAAATCTTATGCCCAGAGAGCCCAATCCCTTTAATTAAGGAATATACCTTAAACTATAATATTAAGGCCCCTATAGTTTAAGGTATATTCCATAATTGAGGNNAGGGGTATTGGGCTCTCTGGGTGAGTGCCGACTGACATCCGACACACCGAGCCGGGCCCGTTCGACCGCAACCAGCAGACCTGGCCCTACCGGGAGCTTTCCTGTTTTGAGGCGGGGAGGCCCAGCCCGGATGGGCTCACTTGACGGTTTAGGGTTTAGGGGTTTAGGGGTTTAGGGGTTTAGGGGTTTAGGGGTTTAGGGGTTTAGGGTTTAGGGGTTGGGGGTTGAGGGT